AATGGAAGTGAAACTAGCAAAAATAGATACCAGAACCACTTTAGGCGTTTTTATTCTCTTTCTTCTCTTGTTTTCTTAATAATTAGTAAATTTTAAGCATCAAGCAGATTTTGAAAATCACAAAGAGTCTATAAGTTCATAAGTTTTTTGCATGTTTATTTGTCTTCCTTCCTTTCAGCTTTCTATCGTTCTTTTATCTTTTTCATAAGAAGAAAATAGAGTCTAGAGGACGATCATCACATTTCAGAAAGTAATGACAAAAATAATAGAAATAGGTATGTTGCAAATGGTTGACGTCAACTAACACTAAGAGGAAAGGCATTCAGTATAGTATGACAGTCACAGTATTGTATAACACAACAGAATGTTTTATTACCTCTTCTGTCTTTGAATAATTCACTTTCGAGAGAGACAAAGCTTTAAAAATTCCACCACTGCAATTCTTTTTTCTATTTTTGTTCCGAGAAATAAAAAGCTTTTGAATGGAATTAAAGTGGACAACACGAGCGTCCACTTTAAATTTGCAATAAAAAATCTGGACCATTATATAATGTAATATGACTTAAGCACTCATAGCTATCGATTCTAAAAAAGCTGTTGTGCCATTTTTCTCAGACAAATGACAAAAATCTTTTAAAATACTAACATCTGACACGGATCAATTAATTTGTATGATTTGCGTCTTCCTTGTTGCATCCATCACTTTCCAAAATGTTCGATCCATTGAAATTGATTTTAATGCAAACGCATTATAATATCCTTAACAGAAGAACAACAAATGATTTCTCTCTTTTTTCTGTCTTAAACAGGTTTGTGTTGATACAATCGCTAACTGTCTTCATGAATGAAATAAGGAAATAAGTCCAATATTCTCGAACATTGGACTATTTCGAACAAAAAGCTTCTTCAAGAGCTTATAATCAAATCATTAAGATTAAGACAAATCAACTAGGATTCTACTACCGAATTTTTGAATGGAATAAATTCTGTGGCAATCTTTAAATGAGTGCGTGTTGCATATTCTGACCATTCTCAAATGTCATCGTCTAGTGTTGGTTGTCTTCTCTTCAATAAAATCAGTCTACTCTAATGCTTTAGATCGATATTCTGCTTGGTGGTTTGCATTGTTTAATAGCTGAGGCTACTTCTAAACGTTCATTCATTCATTCATTCATTCATCCCTTCCTTTCCTCTCTCCAATGCCAATTGAAGCCCTTCAGAACATCGATTCCGTTTCAATTCTTGCTTTTACTATTCTTTTTTAACTATGCACAATTTGTAATCTTTCCTTCGATACTGTGAAACGTTCGGTTGATCTTTGTTCTACTCTCTTCTCTTCACATTATAATTCATAATGTTTATTCAACGAAGCTAAATTTATTCCGTTTAAAAGTTACAAGATTTGTATTTTTTGATAAATTCTCTAATTAGCCTATTAGCCTATGCTAATTTCCATGTTTTACATTGACCAATGAATTGTTAAGCTTCATATTGGTCACTATACTTTACCTTGTATAAGTTATAGTATACATTATTAAGTTGATAAACTTCACTATTCTAAAAGGAAGCTAATGGAACTGTAGTATTTCTATTTTTGGTGAAAAAAATTTTAATTAAAGTTCCTCATGAAAGAAAAATATCTGACCCCAAGTGAGCATGTTATAATTTTCTAAAATTTTTCTAAACTTTTTTGTTAACTTAATGAACTAAGTTTCTCATACTCTCTCCAACATAAAATGTTGAGACTATAAACCATGAATAGTACGTCGAATTGGATTTCTTTTATTTACTGGATATAACTCAATATTATGGCCAAACTTTTCTCCGCTGGAATGAGCCCAATTTTCAATGTTATATCTAATAGATAAAGTAAATCAAATGTTATCTGTTAGATAAGCAAAAAAAAAAAATTTCTGCAATATGATTCTGTACCAAACCATAAATTTAACAACAAAACGAGCATATTTGAAAGACTAGCAGCTCAGAATTAAAAACAGAAACCGAGTATATCAATTTTTCTAAATTCTGTGTGCAGATGGAGATCTTTTATCAATTTGCTTTGATTTAACTTTGTGAAGAGTTGATTTTCTCAGGTGATCTATTTTAAAGTTTTTTGTTTGAGAATTGTTTTCTCGATTTTAATGTGGGCAACAGCAACTTATTCATAATTTAGAGTTTTCAAATTTTCTTCCTTTTCATCACTCCTTCTTAGATTTTGTTTGAATCAAAAAACAGCTTTAAATATATGTGATTCAACTGACTATGCAAAATATTTTATGAGTGACAGTTTACCATAAGCAGATGAACTTTCCAATTCTAGTCTGATCGACATGTCATTCAGACTAGGATTTTAAATGTTGCTGCTGAATACTAGAAATGGAAATTTCAGAAGGTAACCTTCGCTGGCCAATACTAACCTCACTAACTTTAAATTACAGTAAACGTTAAATTTTCTAACCCGAACGATGCATTCATAGATTTCGATGAAATAAAAAAAAAAAAAAAAAAACCATATCAATAAAATGAAAAATCGAGAAATTTGCCCTAAGGAAACATTATGCTAAGTAAAAACCGCAATGACTGGAACCAATGTCTACTTACTGTTAATAAAAATTACCCGCCTCATTCTTCCTTTTCTTTTTTATTTCTTAACTTGTAATACTTCAATTATCTAAATTATATAGGCTTAGTTAAACAAAAATTTGTAAACTAGTCGAAAATTTCAAATTTTTTACTCTTTATTCGATTTGCATAATGAACAAATAGTATCCAAGAAAAATAGGAGATCAGTTTCCTTCGTTTACTTGTTATGAAAGTGTTTTTGAGGCTAAATCTCAAAATGGAAAAATTTGTTGAATTAAAAAGATCAATTGATGTAGAAGAGATGAAACAATCGAGAAAGTCTGAAACACTGGGGAAAGCTAAGTTTTTACGAGACAATATTAGTCGAGAGATAAAAGACTCACCAAAACTTTAGCTTCAAGGAAATTGGGTATGATCTATTGGGATGGTAACAAATCAAGGAGAAGAATATTTTTCTGAATTTCTTTTAACTCGCAATTGAACTTCTCTAGAACCACTCAGCTGGAAATTTCAACAACTTTACTGACCAAAGTGGTTGGTCAATAATTTCGATATATATTTTTATAAAATAAAAAGCGTAAAAAGTGCTTTCGAGAAATAATTTTCGACACAGCTGTGATAATAGATGAGATATCGAAGATTCCAAAGCATTCTATCTTCCCTCACAAACTAATACAATCACAAAGCGCAAAATACTACACTTGTTGCGAAATAAGCCTTAGAAAAAGAATGGATGATCCAATCATAATACAAGCGCAGTGGATTTTAGCAAATGGAATTAAAGATTTGCGGCTCCACTTTGAAGAGAAGGAGTTCATTGCATATAAAAATGGCACTCAGAAAGAACTGTGATTCTAATTATGTACTAATTACGCGACAGAACCATTAGATCAATGGATACGAAAATGATAACTCATTTACTAAGAAGTATCAATATGTCTTGAAGCAAATAAGACTTTTCCTGAAACAAATGGAGGACTGGAATTTAGGTTCCAAAATATCGGTTATACTCAACGTCATTGACAAGATTTGAAAACACTCTCTGAGGCTAATCAGTGTGAACATCAGTTTACCTGTTCGTCCTTTACTTCGTTTGATCTTTGTTGTCATTGGATAGTATAAGTTATTACAAAGAATTTTATTTTTGATCTAAGCTTCCTAATTGTCACTTTATTTATTATTTTTTTTTTTTTGTTTTGATAAGACGATTATAAGTAAATATTTATTGTATTGTTTTCGTATCCATTAATCCACTGGATTAGAGAGCATGATGGAAAGAATACTTGCTGAAATTCCTTTCTAATAGATATATACATATGTACTAATTTCATTTTTAAAGTAATTAGCCTATTTCTCTGATATGTTAATTCACGCATTTGGTGGAGAATGTCAACAACACGAAATCTCTAGGAACTTAGGCTTTACTGCTACACTCTTTTAATAATGTCCTTAAGAAAAGACACTCACTAGGCCAGACTGTCCTTTAGTCTCAACTATCACCATTCTTCCTCTGCAGGTCAGACCAGACCATTGAGGCTTCTTACTCAATGAATTTTTCTTCTTTACCGAGTATAAGTGCATAGTTTTTATTGTCCACTTGCCAGATGGTCTGTCTACACATACACACGCACACTTACCCATACATACACACACACATACATACATAAATGTTCCATTTCTAATTTCGAAACGAAATGTGCAATAAGTAAGTGAAACTGGAACACAGCGTCCTACTTGTTAAAATGATGTGAAATGGATGGAAGAGAGAAATGTGAAAGTACGTTAAAGCATTGGTCAATACTAGATGTTGTGACCAGAGGATATCTTTCCCCCTCTCTCTCTCTCCTTCCAATGTACTGTTGCTCCACTTTTGACATTCTACTTGTTGTTTAATGATAGTAAAATTGACCAACAAAAAAATGAGTTTGAAGATTCAACTGAGCTCATTCATATCTGTTCATTTAATCAAGCTATCAAGTCATTTACTCATCAATTAGTCGATTTACTGAGTAGGAAACAAGTAAATGAAAAAAAAAAAAAAATCATTGTCACAGTTGTAACAAAATTCATATTCAATTAATTGTTATAATTTGGAGCCGCCTAAATACAAATATATTCGATATTTCGGATTTTAGAGCTAATTCCTCATTTTATTTGTATTACCTGCTTGACAGACCCAAATATAAAACACATAAAGTACTTTCTATAATTTGCGGCTAAAAGTATACTTTTCCCTTAAATTTTAACGCAACTTTATTTTGATACAATGATGTTGATATGATTGTTAACCAACGTTAGCGACGTTGTTTTATCTATTGTATTTACTTTCTTGCCAGTAAACCTTTCCATATTTCAGTAAGAAATGTAGAGTGTTTTCACTCCTGTGGGCCACTTCTAATATGTGAAAATTTTAAAGAATGGATAGTCAGAGATTGCTGGACGGAAATTTTTCGCCGGGACGAAATAGAGTAAAAAAGTTGTTGGAACATTTTGAGAAGTCACCGGTAAATGCAATTGCTCGGAGTAGTAACCCATCGTTAGCAGCACGGGAGAGGTTAGTACTTGTACAAGTTGATTTAAACAGTTACTGAATTCTTGGTGAATACTCATTTTGAATTTTAAAAAACTTTTATATTGGTGTCACTTCGCTTTTTCAATTATGGTTTAAAGATCATCACAAAAAGAAATTGCTTTTGGTGCTGACCTAAACGGTTAGCCTTAATCATTCGAAGTCAGAAGGACTGTAAAACAGAATTGATTCACGGAAGGATATAGTAGTTTATCTGGTTCACTTATAGTAGTTTATTTATTTTCACCGATTTTTGATTAACGGATCATTCAACCTTGCGTTTTAATCCTCCAACAATGAGTTTTTAATATAGGTGATAATAATATCGCCTAGTTAATGATTACATTTTCCCGAGAGGCACTTGTGATATATGAACACCTAGCGTTTCTCACTTTTACAAAAAAAAAGTAGTTGTTTCCCACTTAGAACATATTGTCAAGAGAGATGAAAATTATACCAACCAGAAATTTTAGAGGAAGTAGATCATGTCATCACTTAGTGGAAAGTGGTAGCCGTTTCTTTCTTTTTAAATGATTTTTGACTTTTGAATATTTGATTGTTTTTTTAGAACTTTTCACGCCCAATTTTTTTGTATAAAATTCTACTATGAGGCATGCAATGTAAGGTTTTCTTTAGAATTATTATTTTCAGTCTACTTTTTATTTATAATCACTTTTCCTTAACTTTATAACTACAATTTTGTAGATGCCAGTCGATATCGCGACATCGTTCCTCGAAACAAGGATCCGCTGGCATCTATCAGAGACGAAGTATTCTTAAGAGACAGGTGAGGTTTGTGAGATTTTCTTCAGAGCTTCAGAATTACTTTTATTACTAAACCAATTCAATGATTCCTTTATAATCTGATAATAAGTCATATCCTTTGTCATATCCATAAGTTTGAGAAGGATGCGAAATTCACTTAACACTTTAGTACTCGCTTGTGGTAGAATAACCAACCATCCTTACAAAATAGTAACCTTATCTGTAAACTAATCTGACAACCATCTCATATTTATAGGACAGAATTTACATTGTGATAGATTAGATTATGGTGTGAATTGAGTTCGTACTTATTCAATGCTTATTTAACTTTAATTTTTTTACTGTGTGATTCTTTACGATAAATTGAATAATTTGCTGAGAAAACTACTAGAAGGTCGAACTGTTTGGCTAAAAGTGAAAGCTCGCAATAAGCTAAACTTTTCTGCATGCAGATTGCACCGTTAATGTTACTGTGTTCATAATTCAGTCAAAAAGTCATACGGACATTCGGCCGAGTGGAAGATCATCGATAACTGTTAGACGACGAAGTGTAATGTCCAAAAGTTATAGCCATGGGGATCAAGCGGACCTTATCTCTGCTGTCAGGTTCGGTTCTGTAATCTAACGAAATTTCCTTTTATTTGTGTGTTATTGCTTGGTGTTTTTGAAATTTCTCCTAATTTCAACTTTGAAAACTAAAGAAATTTTGTGATGGGTCAGATAATTTAAGCCCAATTTACTGCGATTCGTTTCATAAATGGAAATGATATGAATTAAGGTTTAAATTACGAGAAATAGGATTCTTCCTATCGTTTTTGTAATAACTGCCATTTCAAAGTTTTTTTTTTTTCTTTTTTTTTTTTTCAAAATTTTTGAAAATGAATTCTATCTTTCTGAAGATATTATATCAAAATCAGTTAAGTAAAGGTTAATATGATTTGATTGAATATTGAAGAGAAATCAATCAATAAAATTATGTTCCTCCGAAATATACAAGATTTTCATAATCCGTTTGCGTTCAACTCATAATTCATTTTACTAATATTTTACCTCTGAATGAGCAAATGATTGAATTTGAATTTGGAAAACAAATTTCTCGCTTGAGTGACTGAAAAAATTGGATCTAATTTGATTCAACAAATGAATATAAATGAGTACATACGTATTAAGTAAATGTGAACGATTACTTTGTTTCTGGATTTTTGACAGAACCTGTTCTGAGCGTGTCATCGGTCGTGCACCTTCCTCATTTCCTTTCGAGTTCCTTTCCTTACACATTTCCTTTGCACAATTCAGTGTTTCATTGAAGTAATACTAAAATTTCATAATATTTTAATAATATTCATAATATTATTTCTGGCTAGTTTCTTGGTTTAATTTTCAATGAAATATTTGAATAACTAAGGTTAACAATGCTATTTGACATACAACGTCTTTTCCTTTTCATTTATTGTATGGGAATAAATGTAATACCTTCACACTTTGCTGTCATTTACCTGCACATTTCATTGATAGGTCTTATCCATAGATTCAAAATTTATTCGTTTTCTATTCACACTTTTAAAATCGTTTATTCTTATATTTTAGGTGTTCCATGCACAACCGACATCACCGAAAACTTGGGGCACTTTTTCAAGTGCTATTTGAGTTATTTGTTCTCAAGAAATTATGCGTAATTATTCTCGATTCTTCAGTACAAATATTTTTGCTAATTATGGCTGAAAGAAACCACTTTTTATTGCACTTGTAAATATGCCAAAGAATATTTAATCATAAAGACATTCTTGAAGACACTAGAGTATTTATATTAGGTAATATCTACTAATTAATTCGAAGCATTAAGTAGCAATTATGCTGTTACCTAGCTTTCCATGTTTTAATTTACATAAATTTAAGAGGAAGAAAAGCTTGAAGAAGGCATGCCTTATCTTTTCACACGGAAGGTATGAAAATTATACTAATTTAAATTAAATCGAGAAATATTCTTAAGAGCTTAATCTTTTGGCAACTGTTGCTCAGATATATAAGGAATGTTTGTTATATTATCTTAATTTCGAAATCTTTTAAATTTTAGATCAAACTCGACTGCACATAATTTAGTGGCAGTTTCTGCTAAGAATAATAACTTTTTTCAGTAGTTGACCTGCAAAAGAGAAATTTTTTTTTAATTGAGATAAAATTTACAAGTGAATGAAAAGATCGCTTGTTAAACGGATGGAAGGTTGTTGAGTCTTCGAAATGACGAACATGTTCTAATGCGATGCTTAGAAGCCGGTTTTCTAAAAGTAGAATATTTCGTGCCTGGTAGTGATGCTACTAGAAAAAGTGGAGTTGATTTTTTGTTTGGGCTTTGCTCTTTTCAAGAATGACAATTTGATGGAACAACCATAAACTGTATTTTTAATTCTCAAAATTTCATTGATTTATTCACTAATTTTCATTTTTCCACTATTTCGTCCAATTTTTTATGACAATTTTACAGTTGTTAACAGTATTTTCATCATTCCACATTACTTTTTAATCACTATCTTAGATGGAAGTATGAAATGACCGAGTAAATCCCAATATTGGAAGTTGTCTGGTGCTGGCTTAATTATTAACAATTTCATTAATTAAATTTGAATTGCCTCAAAAATGGATTAATGCAATTCAACTGATCTTTTTCTGGAGATTTTTCTTGACTGTAAATGTTGCGCAACATTGCTATTCAAATGCATAAATATGCATGGCGCTTTCGATAGGAAATGCGCTTAATTTAAACTATCAAGCAGATCAATTCATTTCCGATATTGTGGGCTGAGCGCTTTTAAACCTACTCCCACTATTCTATTGCTACTTCGCTAAAGATTTACTTCCTCAATTTGCTATTTTCAAAAATCTCTAGTTTTTCTTTTTCTCAGTACCAAGATCTGCAATGTTTGCGCAAATTCAAATGTATTAGTAAATTGAAAGTATTTTCGTACTAAAATGACAAAGAAAGAAATTTATCAATGACGAAATGAATCAAAACCATTCAACTAGAATGAACAAATGAATATTTTAGAAAATGGGTTTAAATGTTGCTATCATATTGCAAATTCGCTTCATTTTTTTCAACTCGTATTACTTGCTAAGTTTTGAAAGATGAAATTTTGGGTTAAGAATTCTGCTAGCCTCTCAAACGTACAGAAATCCATTTAAGCTAACGTACTACTCTAACCATAATCGTATTGCAGTCCAACATTCATTACTGCTTTTTGAGAAACAATAACAAGAATATCATAAAGCTATTATTTATTTTCTCGTTCTTTAATTGTTATTCCAGAAAAAAAAAAAACTAATCGTATCAGATTATTTGGCCATTTTGTTCTTAAATGTAAGCTCTCTTCATGACACTACTTTTCTCTCAGTGTGAAAGAAAGACTATACAATTTTCTTGCATTAATTATCAGAAGCAATGTTGTGACAAATGATTTGACTGCAAATGTTAACTGATAATTGGAGTTATTATTTTCTACAGTTCTCGAAAGCTAAGACTTAAACTATGTTGTAAATAACTTTACTCTCCACACTTTCTCACACTGCAGAGACAAACATATTATTTGTACTTCCGTCTTTTATTTAACTTTCACGAGTATATAAGGTTAAAAATGCAAATTAGAGATAGTGATCGAATTTTCAAAATTAAAAGATAAAAATGGCTTAATTGTTTATGATCCATCTGATTCTCTCTACTTTATGTGTTTTGTTGTCTTTCATATTCAAATGATCTTGCAAAGGGATTCGTAGAAATACCGACATTTCTGCAGTTTCTCTAAAAAAAAAGAATCATAGCATTGTATTTCCTTCTTCTCAGTAGTTCTCAGAGTATTCCTCTCTTTTGTTGAACAATAATTTCCTTTTTCTTTCACTGAAAATCAGTCGAAATGTATTTTAGAAATTTCATTTTTTTTTTCAATGTCTCTTCATTTTGACAAAATATTGTGCTAATATAAATATATATTATATGTCACAGGAGTAATTACCAAAGCTAAATAATAGCTGCAAATTAGAAGCAATCTTAGCATATATTTGTCTCTGCATTGCTTTTAGCTGATATTAGCAAAATTACTTTTCCTTCAAAATAATGCATTTTGCAATTTGCGCCAAATTCGGTTTATTATAGCTATAGCTCTTCATCTCTTGATTATTAATAAAATTGGAAAATAGCGTTTTTTCAACCTAGATTTTTGTTCTTATTACAAAATTCAACAATTATTGTTTTATACAAGGCACTGATCTCAGAATTATTTCAATAAACTTAATTTACATATCATTGAATCTTAATTTTTTCATTTATTCTTTTACTGATATAATATGTTCCCTGATTTTTCAGAATCAGGAGCACAAATCGGAGTCGATTTATAAAATAATTTAGGTAAATATAAATATACACTAGTCTCAAACAATGGTTACTTAATAGCTCACAGAGCAAATGATGAGTCTTTGTAAGAAATCTATTTCTCTTAGAAACATTATTTCTTAAATTTGATTATCAAATTCTCGAATAAGACATATACTATGTTAAAGAAAAATTCAAGAAAAAGTATGGTCGAGAAAAAGTCCTTTCTTGTAATTTGAGTTTCACTTACTCGATTATGCAAAATCTACAGCATTAAATGATCAGTCATATTAGAATTTCAGTCCAACTTGCAATTTACTATAACAGTTATGCAGTATCCATGTGACTTCCTATTTACCCATTCTTGCTTCTCTGCACGTAAGTTTTAGATGAGACATGAAATTTCCAGTACAACATCAACAGGTATGACTAGATACCTTAGCAGGTTTGAGAAGTGAAATAACTGGATTTATAACAAAAAAGTGCCGTGGCTAAATCTCTAATCTAGTTCTAACAGTTAAATTAAAATGGTGATACAGACAAAACAAATTTTCTAGCTGATCATATAGGATGGATCGTAGGTCTATTAATTTATGCGAAAGATCCAATCACTGCTTTCATAAATAGCGGTGGAAGGACATAGGAATCTCAGTGAAAAGTGAAAAAGAATGAGTGCATTCAGTCATTAATAAAATGTTGTTTTCAGTTCATTCAATTTTTTCTTAAAGAAATTCCTTTTTTAATTCATGACATGTTATACTCCCAATATTTGCAATCATCAGGTATTTGTATGACCTATAGAATTTGGTTCAGCGACGGCAAAGTGTGATTGTTTGCACAGTTTATGAGTTACATCTTTTCAATCTCGTTGATCTGCCACTTTTTTTATAACGACAAAATTTAAAAAACTCAATAATTTACGTCGTCGCTACACGCATTACTTATTAATTTTTAGACGCGATGTATCGAAAAAATCTGTGATGACAAGCAGTGATACGAACGTCGCTATAGTTCTTGCGACTCCGGTGATCTCCAGAAATTCCTGTGACATGTCCCATCTTATTCAGTCAATGTGTGTCAGCGATTCTAATACATACGCAATTGATCAAGGACAAGAACATCGAAGTCGACCAAAGCCACCTCCACCTATTAAACCTGCAACACTTAAGAACAAAATTGGCTGTAGAAGTACTCAGAACTTATTTTCTCCACAAACCTCAAAACCTGACCTTTCAATAGCTGATAAAAGTTTACCGAGAGCTCCTTCTGATGTGATTAATTCATCAGAAACAGCAAGCGAAGAAAGAACCAATCATGCAGGAGAAGTAATATACATCTCAGAAGATATCATACCAGAGTCTGATCCATCGTTTGAGGCGATGCGGATAACGGCTTTATGTATTGAAGAATTTAAAAAGGTTGAAAATGATTCACATACTTTGGAATCTGCTGAGAAACCAAATAGTGGAACTATAATTACTAATAAACGAGCAAGCTTCATTAACGAAGAGATCAAAAAACCTAAAATAAAACCACCACCACCACCCATTCAATCTCATATACGTCGCTCTCAGTCTGGAAGAGATACCAGTAAGGTCGAGGCTATTAGAAGAAAATTGAATTTGGAAGGTGTTTTTGACACTAACCGAAATATCGCGCCGAATAATGCGAGTATTGATGAGAGTACTTCATTAAATACTCATAGATTTGAGCGGTGTCTGGAGAGCTTGGACATACCCAGGTAAGTAGTTATTAGCCGATAGATTAATTCATTTTTCAGAAATACATCAGGAGGCTAACTTTGAACTTTTCTGCTTTTAGCAGAGGATTCAGAACTCTAAATAAATCTTTACCTCTTTGTCTACAACCTTACTCATTATCAAACCTATAATTAATGGTGAATCTTATCACTTCAGTCTCTTGAAATTCACATGATTTTAGTGTACCATCAATACCACCACCATTGCCACCAATGCTCTCACCTCATGATGTTCTTAATGATGAGACGTACGAAGAAATTGAACAACTAACCTATGCTGAGGTGAAATATTTAAATTATTTTGAGTTCTGAAAATAACTTGAACACGTCTAAATTTTTTCTTATTTTTAGGAAAATGGCGAAACTGGTAATAAAACGGAAACAGTTGATGAGCTAATCGATGAGGTTTTAATGCGAGAATCAAATTGTGACAAAAGGTTTGCAAATCATTTATGGCGTCCACTTTCCATGCTACAAATATTTCTCAGTGCTTTTAGTTCCAATTAAATTGATCATTTAAACATTATGTGACTCTAGCTTACTTAGATGAATAGACAGAAAAGTCACTTCAGCTTTCAACGCCTTCTAAATCTGAACAGAGGGAGAAAATGCATATCTAAAAGAAGTGCGAAATCGAGAAAGCTTGTCCAAGCAGTCGATCTCTAGTGTTTTTTTTTGTTTTTGAGTTGAAAGGGTATTACTAATTGAGAAGAGAAGATATCACTAATTATGGATAATTTCTTCACATTCTCGTTCCGTACTCTCGAATTTTCTCAAATTTCGAAGATTATTATACCAATTAGTCAATCATATCAAACTTTTTATATTCAAAATATTTATTCAATTTTTCAAACTTCTGAGTTTATCTTTTCAGTTCAAAGCATCCGCAAATGCACGAAACACTGACTAATACTGATAACTTTTGTAGTGGACAAGGTGAATTTTATACTGATAGAAAAGGAAATCAATTCAATGATAAAAGTAATATATATCCGAGCAACAACCATTTTGGAGCAACGCTACGAGAATTCAATGAGGTGAAATATTACATGAAAAATAAAGTAGTTTTAATTGAGTTACTTCATCAACTGTTTTGTTATAATTTTCACCTTTATTCCATGTCTTCACTTATCCCTTTGTTCTATTCATTTTTTTTTTTTAAAAAAATTTACTCTGATTTGCTTACCACTTAAAATTCTATTTAGAGCTTTCAAACTACGTATCCTACACACCATTTTAGCAATTTGGAGATTTTTGGATGCCAAATTGCTTTCAAGATCTTGCAGACATTTACGAAAATTTCTGTAGTAATAGAATCCTAACAAGATGTTATAATAAAAAACTTTAAATCATCATGTTCAAATTCCACTTTCAGAGCGAAAACAATGATTCTTAGGCTAAAACCCAAAACATTTAATTATTCGTTTTTAAAAAAACTATTCTTAAAAATATATACATAATTGGAAAGATAAATTCCAAATAAAAATTTTCGAAGTCAGTGATTATATTTTACAGGTCCATTACTTTTAAATATCATTTAAAGATAAACAGAAATACTATTTGTATGGCTGATATGAAAAAATTTTTAAATTGAATTTCTACTTTCCAATCATAAAACTAAAATATAAACCCAAAACAAAAATTTTCTTTGAAACTTAGAATATCATTTATGACTGATTCCAAAAATGAATGTTTCCATCAAAATATAAAAATTAATTGAAAAATAAATTATATTATTTGAAAATTGCATTATACATTTTTATTAAAATTAAAATTTATGTTAAAGTGAGTGCTCAAGTTCAAAATTTTTTGGAAAGAATTCGTAACTTTAATAACTCATTGAATGCGCATTGATAATGTGATTAGAAACTCTTTTATATGTTCCTTTCCAAATTTTGGAAATCCACTCTTTTTAGAGTAATGTAAGGCCAGACGAGAAAGCAGCCACGATGAGAAGGCCAAAAAGTGCCTTGGAATTCGATAAATTATTGCGAATTAAATCCGATATTCAGTTAAATATCACGAGAAAGGTTTTTGAGTTATTTTTATTTTTGTGTAACGAAATTCAGAAATAAGATCAATTACTCTTTACTTGCTGTTTAACCTTTAGTTTAAATTGCTTTTGAGTAAAGGTTAATTTTAATAAGACTAGGTAACTAACACCTAACTACACCCATTGATCATCCGACTTTAAATAAGCACGGCTAGTTGTATCCACACTTGATGAATGCACTTTGGTTCCTTCCTCTGTCTTTTTCAATTAGGATCTGTTCTAGTCGTTGAAATATGAGCAACTAACTTTACTGTCTATTGTTCATTACATTATTGCGGATTGATAATTTCTATTTTTCACACTCTGACTTAAGTCACGAAGAGATAGACTGCACAACCGAGCTGAAAGAAGTAGTTCTGGGTGTACGCACAAAAGCACCTCAGCTATTCTCTCAATCACGCTAACTGTCCTCTGCAGTACCGTTTGACATCCCAATAAAATTTATTTGCAGAATGACAGTAGCAGTAATCAGTTTGTACTATCCTGTATCTTTTGTAATATTGGATATAAATTCTGCTTTCTTCTCTTTTAATTTGTAGCCATAAGTTTTATTTTTCAATTTTTTAGGCTGATAGAAGTAATATGTTTAACTTGTTTTCATATTTATTAAGACTTGTTTGAAAAAAATATTCACAAAAATATTTAAAATATTTACAAAAAATGTTCACAATAATCATCCTTTGATACGAGAGAAATTACTTGTATTATTTTCTTAAAAGTTATCTATTTAAATGGAAAATGTAAATTAAAGGTCGGCCAAATCAAATTCAAAGTAAGCTCAGCGTCTCAAGAAAGGCAGCGATGTAAACGCCTTTCATTTATTGATCGAGAAAGATCGAAGAATTATAGTAATGATAAAGTTCTGGCTAAAATAGATTTTCCTTTGGATGAACAGTGTATTTATGGTGATGTTTGGTCTTCAGATGAAGACGATTATATTTGCAGTACAGATCAGAAACAAGGTGACTTCTAATGAAATTATTAGTTCCGAAATTTCAGCACTGATTTAAAATATGTTCATTTTATCTAATTATCGTTTGTTATTTCCGTAGAGCAAGCACAAATGCAATCTCAAAAAGGCAATCTCGGTGAGGTGATTAATGTTGGCAAGGATAAGTCAGATGAACCATATTCGATGTTATCGGAAATTGAGCGAGAGCTTCGTCTAAGATTCCAGACTCATAACAATCTTCCCGGTAAACCTCCGGAATTGTACTTATATATCGTGAGCTGGATATTTTCTTATAGTTTTCTGTTAATTAAGACAGCGGAAAATGTAATGTCACTTTTTTCCTATGGAACAGTTAATATAAAAATTTAATATTTACCATCAGCAAATGATTAATTTAAAATAAATGTTCTCTTTTTTTAGATATTGTGCTGGAATCAAGGAGAAGATCTATGAGTGCCGATCCACTCGTCCATGATAGTACCTCGATTACAGCCAAAAGAGAAAATGCATCATGTGGCTGGAGATGCATCCAAGGCTATGGCAGTGACAATGATGGTGTTTGTTGTCAGACTAAAGATGATAAACAGAAACCATCAACAGAAGGTTATGAAACTATTGTAAGTATCCCTTTACGCTAAGATTTAATTTAAAATATATCACGAGCCAAACATGATGTAAAAATACAGGCAGAAATCAAGCTCGAAAATCAAAATGAATTTGAATTAGCTCAATTAGCATTCGCTTGAAAAAAAAACTTTTAAACATTTCAGTATTCCAAAAGTAATCTTTAGTATAAATTGTAGATTTCATCAATTTCGCCATCATCCGAGCATAACTGCCTACCGAGTACGTCATCAGATTACACCTTAAGAGAAATCGATCGCTCAATTTATACTGCAAGGTTTATTTTTCCATTTTTTAATGCACAGTCATTCTTCAATAATTAAAATTTGATCCTACATCGGTCATTAGGAAATGTGAATAATTTCTTCAGGGTAATTCCTGATCCGCAACCGCTTTATCAAATCTACATGATGGAGCAGAATGGTCAGCTGATTTATGAGACCAAGGAACAGAAAATCACGCAACCGAGTTTTAGTGGGAAAAGTATCTCTAAGGTCAAAAAATTCTGTTAAGTATACTGATTTTCTTCATTGCTCACTCTCATTTCTTAAAAAACTGAATAAACTTTAGATGCAACGAGTTGCCTCGACTGCTTCAACCGATAGCGGACGTGGCGCAGACTGTTCTACAACTGTGTCGCAGCCTACGTCCAACACATCAATGAGACGTGAACGTTTGGTTGCAGGTAGTCATTTTGCTAGTCAACGATCGCTATGGTGTGAGCTTCCAGAAGTGAGTCTCTTTTCTGGTATCCGAAATTTTACTTTTGCAAGCTTCTGTCATGTTTCGTTAAAATTGTTGCCCTCATTTTATTAGTTTTAGGTAAGAAATGCGGGTTTGTTGGAAAGATTGGACGAAGATATGAAAAAGCTGCAGGAAGCATATTTCGAAGTGATTACCAGTGAAGCTTCTTATCTTCGTTCAATTAATATCCTAATTACCCATTTCATGGCTGCTCCTGAAATGCTCGGTAAGCTTTATAGTCGTTTTTAAGTCTGTAAAAAGTTGATCAAAAAATGTTCAGTGCTTATTTTATCAAATTTTCAGGTTCGAAAAGACCTTCTTCAACAATAACAAATGAAGAACGAAAACAACTTTTCAGCAATATATTCGCTGTTCGAGACTGTAGTGAGAAGTAAAGAAATTATTGCTAATGTTTCATTCATTTTCTTTATTTTTACAAGTGCAAAGCTGCGAACTTAGATTACTGATTAATTAATATAAAATAGATTTTGATTTGAAAATTAAAAGAAAATGTTTGCATGTGCAAACTTATTCTCTCTAGTTTTATCTGCTCTTTTAAGCAAGGAAGCTCGAACTCTGCCTGCAAACTTTCACGCAAAAATCTTGTTGTTGGCTGACCCCAACTCGGGGTGGCCACTCGGGTCAGCTAACCGACAAGTATGCTGAATTATGTCAATATTAGATTTATTTCAACTATTATTGAAGAAAGTATGCATGCCTTTTGCTCATAATGTGGGAGAATTTGCATACGTTTTTGCTACAGCAAGCATTCAGAATGTTTCTAAAGTTTAATTCGAACAATGTTACAGTTTCTGTATTTTCATCCGGTAAATTTGTTCTGCTTGAAGTTCTTTTAAATCTTTTTTAAATTTTAATGATTGTTGTTATTTTGTTTGACAATTCAACTCCGTCTTAAGTTATTTTTTCAGGTTATTATCAGATTTGGAGAATAGACTACAAGAAAGTTTGGTACTGTCCGATATTTGTGATATCTTATGTGATCATTTTGAAACAAATTTCGATCCTTATATTAAATATTGCTCTAATCAAGTTTATCAAGACCGAACACTTCGAAAACTCAAGTTCGTTATTTTATGTAAAAAATAAAAATGGACAGAGAAAAGAATTAACATATTTTGGATCGTATTATGATCTCATCACGTCACTTTGCTTTCACAATCGGCAGAATAAGGAATATTCAATGGTTTTTCTTTGAAAACTCTAAATTTTTAATTGCAGATCTGAAAATCCTTCATTTCTGTCGTGCATTCAGCGCCTGGAAAGTGACCGTCTATGTCAAGGACTGGACATGCGCTCATTCCTAATGTTACCTATGCAAAGAGTTACTCGTTATCCACTTTTGATGATTGCGATTCTCGAGCATGCACAGCAAGATGCAGCAAACTATCAGACTGCCCAAATTGCATTGTATTTAGCCAATCATGTATGTTTCTTGCTTTTTACCGCAGAACTTGATAAGATTAAGAGACCTTAGTTGTATTATAGTAAGTTTACCATTTTCATTTATATTAGAGATAATTAGGTTAGTTACTAGATTGCAAGCTGATTTGGAGAGGTAGAGTTACTTTAAAATGACTTCCTATTGTTTAATGCTTAAATAATTTCACCCATTTGGGCTTTTTCCTGTTTTAAATCAAATAATTGTCTGTAAATTGTTAAATAAAGTAAGAGGAATTTTCAAAACAAATTAGATAAAATTACCTCCCTACTTTTTCTTCATTTTTAAATGAACTTTTTCACTTTGTTTCGAGTTTTAGATTGTCACTTGCTGTAATGAAGGTGCCCGACATATGGAGCGTACCGAACAATTACTAGAAATTGAGCGTCGCCTCGTTTACAAATCTTCTGATTTGAGGTATTTTACCTAATTCAATGATTGATTACTTCCATGTCTATTAGAGTTCACTTCATATTTTACACTTTGTGAATGCCATTTCTGCTTAATTTCAGACGTATTCCGCTGGTTTCATCAGGACGTTATTTAGTTAAACGTGGGTCGCTCATATGTCTGAATGAAAAGCGATCTAAGAAACTCTTAAATACTCGACAACAATTCCAGAGCATATATATTTTTCTTTTTAATGATATTATTATGTTAACGAAGAAGAAAGTGTATGCTTTTACTTTAATTTTCTGGCTCATTCATTTGAAAGAAAGTGATACTTCATCTGTCAAAGTTAAAATATCATAAAAACAATTTATAATGCTTTCGAAGTCTATTTATCCAATAATATAAAATTTCCTGACTTTTCTACAGTCTCACAATCTAATTTTTTAGCACCATTTGTTAAATGAGGTCAGATTAATCAATTTAAATCCACTGCACCTATTTTTTACTTTCATTTCGGACCGTCTATTTTAGTAATGGAACTTATATATGCAAAGATTATTCCGCAAGAAGATTTGTCGATATTGAACCAGTTGAAGTTAACGATCCCAAGGTTCGTTCTATTGGTAGAAGTTTTATTTTCTTCTCAATTTCATAAGTTTTAGATTTTGAGCATAATTCCAGAATTACAATGAGGAATTGAAAGCTCTGTGTGATACGGAATGCTTGCTTTCATCAAGTAGTCATGTTGTATCAGTAGCAGGTTAGAACACAAATGAAAAATGAAAACTCATATTTTAATATCTAAATTTTTAAAGGAGATCGACAAAATTTTAACAACTTTATTGAGGTGATATAATTAAACTGACTGAAGTATATGATCTCATTTTTAATATTTAAAGCAGATCACATTTTTGAAATTGTTGCATTCAATTTTTTCCTTGTACATATAAGATTCTCCATCATTTAATCTAATGAGAAATGTATTGTTTATTTATTTTTTGAAAGAGTGAAGCAATGAAAGTATTAACGACTGTTTACATTTAATTAGTTTTGGAAACAAAATTACTTTTTATATTGTAAATACGATTACTTCATTGGTTCATTATTTTCCAAGCATCCCCTGAAAGTTGATAGTAAATTTTAACCCTTTTTTTGGTAGTAAAATGTAACACTATTCGGTGCTAGATGTATTCTTTCAGTTGTTGCAGTCCGTAACAGCACATATTCCGCTGAAGAAGCCGCATCTTTTCATTTGTACTCTCATGCATAATGCTGTAGGGAAACAAGTGGAGCTTCTTTTGAATGCAGATTCCGAAACCGATCGTGAACGATGGTTGTCCGCACTAAGACCACCTACTGTATAAATAATATTTATATTTCAGTTACATTCATTCTATATTTTCTCACAATTCCCTCCGGAAGGCAGTAAGGGTAGGATAATTCAGTCTTAATGATTCTTAAGTGATTTAACTTCAGTGCACCAATCCAGAAGAAAAGATCTATGCTGATTGGGATTGCCCACAAGCTGTCGCTGTGCATCGGTATTCTCCGAGCCAAGAAGATGAGTTACCACTGGAGAGAGGCGATTTAATCAATATACTGCGTAAAATGCCAGATGGTCATTAATTTAATCCAATTCAATTAATAAACAGTTAATTTTCATTAACAGCTCCTAAATATGAAAAATAAAGAAGCATAAATATCTTTATTTCAGGTTGGTTTTACGGTGAAAGAGTTCGTGATTGTTACAGTGGCTGGTTTCCATCTTCATATGTTCAGCAAGTAGCTCTTGTTTATTAATTTTGGAAGGAAGAAAACTCTTTTTCAGCAGCTCTTCATATTATATAACTTTTCTCGTCGATATCGTTCATTTAAATAATGTGTATGGCAATGTCATTTAGGAATTTGAAGAAATTCTTTAATTTTGTTTCCATTTGATCTCTTGCAACAAAATTTCTCAGGTACTCAATGATCATGTTCGAGCAAAAAACTATCGGCAGCGTTTACGTGTCATTCAGGTTATCTTCATTATGTTTTCCTATAAATGTGCGAGTATTGAAATGGAAATTATGAACAACCAATCGAAAATTCCAAAAATCTGAATTTTTTGCAAAGTTCATTCATTTTTAGGCAGCTGCTGATTTTCGTTTCCATCAAAAGCAAATGAAAATAGGAACTGAAGAAAATGCTCGCCATATAATGGAAAGATTTCGTCGATTGAGTAACACAAAAAGTGCACTAAAAGATTTGAAATCAAATCAAACATGTTAAAAAATATTGATATATGCCATTTTGTCTACTTTATTGTTGTGAACCAAGTGATAAAGAGAAATTTGAGAGTGAAGCCAGGTCAATAAAATATGGATAATCTATTCATTAAGGAAGCAGGTTCTGCAGTTCGTGGTTATAAGATTTTCAAGTAAGCTTAGCATTTATCTTCACAGAACAGGACTTCTAATTTAATTAACGGGTGTCTGCAATTATCAGGAGACTTGAATTATCATATCTGAATCGAGTTGAAGAATATATCATCCTCTTTACAGAGTTCAAAAAGGCCTTAGGTTTCTGTTACTAATTGGTATTGACATCGAAGGTTTCAAAGAGTATTTTAATTAAACATTTCGTAATCTCTGATCATCATATCTTCTATACGGTTATTTCTTGGATTCAAAAAGTTGCGAAATTTTTTTATCTCATAATTTGCTCTATATGATCTTAATTGGTTTGCATATTTAATTTGTATAGCTGTTGTTATCTATATAATCTTATCCAGATCGGACGTTATGATTTCTTAGCTCTTGAGGTGACCGTTAAATTAATGTTAAATTTAAGATGAGTGAAGGATAAATGGTAGCTCCCTTAAATATATTGTAGGAAATGTTTGAGAAAAAAATTTAAATAAATATTTTTCCTTGCTCGCTATCACATGCATATCGTTTTTTATCAGTTATGTGTCTTATCCAGTTTTCTGCCATCGAAATTTCACTTTAAAAGGAATGAATGCTTTATAAAACTTTTATATATTGTGTATTCATGTAAACCTGTGAACTCGCATACTATACATTGCAAGTGCAATATTATTTTTTTATTATAGATATAACAAAAATCTAATGTTACGGAGCGCTTTTTGTCATTACTATGTATTCGTCAATTTTATTACTTTCCATGTACGAATTATATTAGGATTAAAGTGCTGTTTTATTTTGCGTTAAAGGAGAGTAAACATCGGTAATTAAAATATGAACTATGCTTTTGACAATAAGATTTGAAAATCACCAATTGTATGAATGTTGCAAAACGATTACAGGTCGCTAGGGTTTTCTAGCAAACACTTTCTAGTCCAGAATATTTTTCAAAATTGAGTAAGACAAGTGGTCCTACGATTTGCTATACATTGAGGGAAGGAACTATTAAAAGTTAATACCAAATATACGCTATGCAGGTAATACAATTCGAAGAACTGATGGAATAAATTGAATTAAAATGAATAAAGAAAGAAACTACAGCTTATGTACCTGCAGAATGATACTTCTTGGTAGAAAACGATCACAATATATATACAGTGAAGATAATATGTCACATACAAAATTTATTTCATGGTAGAAAAAATAGCAGTGCCAAGTAAGGCCTTATGATTTTAGGCCAAATAACGGACTAAGACCTTGTGGATCTTGCAATACTTTTTATTGTTGTAACAGGTGTCTTTCTTCTATGCTGCTGTGATTAATGTATTACAGAATTGATTGAATTGTTTACTGATGTTGGCAAATACAACAAAAATGATGAATAAAAAGTTCTAAGAGTTCACTGCTTGCCAACAGATATATAAAGGATGGGAAATAGATGACACACATTTGCTTTATTAGTAAGGAATGAGATATCATTCGAATGTTTTGGATTAGCATTTTTGGATTTTTGGACTTTGTATTTCGAAAGAGATAGTATGGACTTTTGTTGTTATTCAAATTTAATTTAATGAATATAAATCTAGAAATATTTTCTTCATTTTTAATCCAGTGAAAATATAGCATACGGAGAAAAATGTTAGTTAGGTATCCAAAAAAAAAGAATTATTATTAGTTCTAGCTTTTTAATTTACCATTTCAATAGGTAAGTTTTTTTCGAAGTAGTTCGAAGAAAGAGATAAAATATTCGTTCCAACTTATTTTTCTCTGTTCCTATAAGATTGTAGATAAAAAAAAAATCGTTAGCTATGTATTTGTCGTCTTTGCGTAACAAAATTAAGGCCTATCTTTTTTACTTTCAAAATTTGATATTTATTTTTAAAACAATAAAGATTACATAGAAGTCTATGGAAAAATTTTAAAGCCAGTGAGCAAGATAACAACTGCGGCAATTGCCGCCATCAAAAAAAATATTCCCATTATACCTGATATCACCATGCATGTTTTTTGCGCAGTTGTATATTTGATCTCTGAAAGTATAATCTAGAAAAAAACGAAGATATTATGGCTATATTACAATTTATTAGTTCAGAATTTTGATGTTACGATATAAATGCATTTTGTATTAGCAGAGTTAAAATTAACGCTGTCAAGTTCTCAATTTCTATGTTAATCGTTTTAATCTTCTTGATAATATTCTATAATGAAAGTAGTACCCACCTTCTTCTTCATCTTCATCAACCTAAATAGCAAGAACATTTTAGAATAGAAACTTCAAAAAAAGTTAAAGTAAAAATACAGATGAGGGAAGAACTCTAGAAAAGGTGCTGGCATAATTATTTCTATCTCTTGACTTTTGCTAAACTTTTTGATAAACCAACAAATAAAGAATGGCTATAAAATGGAAATATGTTGAACAAATTATCATTGAAAAATAAATAACCAACCAGCGTCTTCTTTGGATCTTTTCCCTGCGCTGCTTTTTTAATAACTTAAAATGCCAAAATTATTTTGGTGCAAAGAATTTGAATTTTTAGCGCACATCTCCAATCGAATATAAATATGAAAATTATTTGCTTAGCCTTTCGTGAATCAATTTAAGTCGAAATATATACTGAAAACAGCAAACATGTTTTGATAACAAATGCAAACTTGAAGATCCTATTTGAGCAGATCTTAATTCTGTTCGGTCTTGTGAAGCTTGGCCTGGAGTAATTGTTGGAAGAATTTGCTGTGGTTGAGGTGGCGGTGGTGGCAGAGCATTTGCTGGCCCCAAATCTTCGTATTTATCACCCATCTGAAACATAAGTTTCATCCAGTTTTCTAATTCTTGCAAAACCTGGAAGGTTTTAGATAGAGAGAAATTAAAATCGCATTCGAAACCACAGCTCTATGAGTATGACAGAAGATAAGTGAATGATAATCAACCAACTGTTTCTGCTGTTGATAATAATAGTTCCAATTTATTTTGTTCAGTAATTTATATACATTATCAATTCTCATTACGATATTCAACCAAAATTTGCATATTAAATTTGTGAAATATTAAATAGACGAGCGCATAAAGTGGAAAAGCCGAATAAAATAGAAGGTATCTAGCAAAAAAATAGTGAAAAGGGTAGCAGGATGAGAAAAGAAAGGAAGAAAACGAAGTATGAAAGGTTAATTTAATTCTATAAAACTTATTTCAAGGAAGTCTGTCAGAAAGATTCTTTACTTTTTATTGTTCATGAATGAGCAAGGATGTGTGAAATTTAATTTTCTTTCATTGCACTTCCTTCCGCTCTGTCTTTAAAAGTGAATGTTGTCTCCGTTCACTTACAAAATAAATGAGCCTGGATTCATTGTCCAGCCCTTTCCTATGCCCATTCTTTCCAGTTGCAGCTCTCTTATTCGCTTTCATTTTTAATAATTTTGAAATGAAATAGTATCGGTATCTTCGCCTTTTCATTAATACCACTCTTATCATTTCTGATTTTTTCAAATTTGGTTTTTTTTTTTAAAACGAATTAGTAAAATTTCACTTATGACGAATAAATAAAGCTTACAATCATCAATTGGCAAAAAACTTTAAGAACGTTTTTCCAAGACTTTGAATTCCAGGAAATTGAAAGATGCTTTAGAAACTCTTAAACTACCTGAATCAATCAGTTAATGCTTTATAGGAAATGTGTTAAATAAGTTTGTACTCGTTTCTTTTTTATTTAAACTTTATAATTTAATATTTAATATTCATCTTTGAAATGTGCTGTAAAATGTTATTAACGACGCATGGAAGGAATTTTTCATATAAAATATGATATAATAAAGATAGCTTCCCATGATATGAAGAAATGTTTGTTACCTATTTTCCGAACGTTTCACAATAGATGGATTATTTGTTTTCGTATGACAGCGATCCGTATCATCTGAGTTTATCTTACTAATTAGAATATCAGAAGTTTGAATTAAGCGACTGTAGCAATTTCCAACTGAAATTATTGATAATAATCATAATTTATCTGATTAAGTTCAAAATTAAGATTGTGGACTTAAGCAACATTGAAATCTCGGGATGAAACTGAATCTATCTGTACAGACAAATATAAATTATGAAGCAACTGTCGCTTGAACTACTGAGAATCAATCACTCTTCCAACGTTTAAGGCTAATTTTATTTAGTTTGCGGAACATATCTAACTTGACTATTTCATCACATCGCTTCCATTCTTTAATTATAGTATTTCTCAGGTCATCTCATCTTATTTGGATTGCATCAATTTTTTGTGAAATGAACACACTGTATTTGATAAAAGTTATAATCCATAGATCGCTTAGTTACTTATTATAATCAGTCTCCAAATCAAGCCAATATCTAAGTTTCAAAGTTTATGCTTTCATTAGTAGCTAAAGCAAATGATAATGGTTCGTGCAGAATTATAATGAATAACATTGTTTAATTCACTAATTAATTCATTATTTATGCTCCAAGACACATTCTAACTTCTTTTTTCTAATCTCATTTTTCACTTTTCTATTTTCTGCTTCTTTTCCATTTGTATTCTCATTTAATAAGAGTTGTTAGAACCTCGAAAGATAAGTAATATAATTGTATAAGTAAAAATCTCTCCGTTTCGTTGTTATTCGTAAATGAAAAAAAAATTAAGCAATTTGATTCTTTAAAGACTAAAGACAAAAGCACAGTATTATGTAATTCATTAATTAATCATTAAAACAATAATTCATATAGTTTGTGAATAAAAGAAGAAAAATCATCGTTGTTTAAGTTATTATAACAATTACTTATTCTCCTTATAGTTCTTTATATAACAACTTTATTTATTGACATTTTCTACCACTTTGCTTAACGTATATTTAATTTAGAAGTTTACTTAACCTTTAATTAATTAATCAACTGTTGCTTGAAATTGGTTTTAAATTTCAGAACATTTTGGTGCTTCTATTACTTAACTTCATAAAGTAACAAAATGTCAAAAATAACATTGAAAAAAATTGGTATTTATTTTCTTCCGTGGCTATTCTCAATCGTTGTAAATTATTCAACAGCTACAGTAAGTTTTTATTTTTACGCAGAATTCATGCAGAACAAAAATAATATCTGAAATTGAGCATTATAAAACATTTACTATTTCACAAGAATATAGCTCTTTAAAACTATGCAAATCAATTCTGAATCCTTGAGACAGAGTATAGATGTTTATCTTCAAGGTATAATAGGCTGCTAATTTTTAATTATCCCTATTTATTATGCTTAGAGAATAGAGTAGAATAATTTCCAAATATCAGCTCTGATTTTAAAATAGGACATTATTTGTTGACAAATAGGCTTTTGAAATGGTTCTGATAAAAAGTGCTTCAGCATGTTGTCAGTTGAAGACATACAAAATATAAACTTTATTTCATTTTTTTTTAAGAAAACGATATAATTACTAGAGGGTTTTCAACATTCTCTATAGCACTTTAGGTTTTAAACAGATTTTACCACTTTGACAATGATGGTACGGTCGACGATGAAGGCACTTCACGATGGTTCTTCGCCAAACCAGCTTTTATAATTTCCAAGAAGCAAATGAGTGAACGAATTGTTAATTCATTATTAAGAAATGCATGGATTGGTTAATTTGTAAACTCTACCAGGTTTGAATCATTAATTTGCATTCAGTTACTTTCATAAAATGTAAACATTGCAGTGTAATTATTTATTCAATTTCCATTTTGGTTTTACTATGTAGGAATGCATGAGAAACTCAATCGTTTTGTTATTTATTGAAGAGCCAGTAATTTTCGTAATTTTCATATTTATTTTAATACTTCCCTGATTTTGATATATCCAATCGAAATTTAAAGCTCATAAGAAATTCTTAAACTCATTTAACTGTCCAAGTTCGTCCATTAAATTCAGGTCATGTTTTAAAATATTTGAACAGTTACCGACAAACAGCAAAAACGAATAATTTGTTAGAATTTCTAGAGAATTTCTCTTTCTTAGTTACGAGCACTAAATGTGATAAACTTTAAACTCAATCTGCATTTCTGGAGAAATATTTTGCACTGAAAGTATAAATAATTTTTACCTGATACTCCCAGAACTCAAAAAATTCTATAATTAAAATTATTATTCCTGGCATTGTTAGATTAATCTAAATTATGTTTGTTTTAAAGTCATTAAGAATTTCTTTGGTAATTTATTAGAAGAATGCATTCAAGCAGCAAGCAGCAAGCAGCAAATATACTCAAGGTAAACGATCAACAAAACAGAGTTCATCTAATAATAAACTCATAGGACTAAGTTTTTGAGTACGAAAGTCCTTTTTAATTAGAATCAAAATTTCAGGAAAATGAGCCTTGCAATATAATAAGTAATATAAATATTATGTCTTCACTTATCTATTTCAAAAAATATTGATATCGACAATTTCTAGACCGATGCCATCAAAAAAGCCACTCTTGATTTTCTTGAATTTGATACTGTAAGGAAGCAATTTCTGCTTTCGCACAAAAGATTTGTAATTGAGCCCTGTCTTTCTCACTTTGCTTCATTTTCTGGCCTGTCAAAAGTAATTGAATAAGGAGGTCAGATATTTGATCCTCGCTCTGCAACTTTAGAAAACTGAAACTAATATGGCTAAAGATATGTCAAATATAAACTTGAGAAATATTAATTATAGCTTGAAATTAAATTGAATCATATTTAGTTTAAAAAGTTCAAGTGTCTTTTCTAAAATTTTTAAGAAATTTGGATTCAAAGTTTGAAATTCTCAAGGAAATATGCTTACCATACATAATATGCCTCGCAGTAACTGTATCTTGTTTTCCGTATTCCTCAGTTCATTTTGCACATCGATGATGCAGTCCGTATTAACAGAGACGGATGAGGTGCTATGAGATGTCACATTCAACTTTCAGAGTTTTTCATTTTTGAAAGAAATTAGATTTTTAAATAATTTTCCTCTTTTTAAAATATTTTGCTGTTTTTGGACGAGTATTTCCTATACGAGAATAATGTTAAATAAGATTGAATGGACCAAGTTGAAGCACTTACTTAACCTGCCGTCCACTTCGGATCAAACATTTCGTGTCGTGAAATTCATTGCGTAAACAGATCAATCGTTCTTGCAAGTCATCAATAATTTTGTGATTTCTTCTAGATCTTAAGTTTGGAATCTTGGTATCATTGTAGAAATCAAAAAGAGGTTATTTGAAAATTTTGAATATATAAAACATTTCTGAAAGTTACAATTTGCAAAAAAAAGGGCTTTAATCGTTTTGAAAAAACAATAAAAAGCACTTGCAATACTTCTAATGCATTAATAGGATATAGAGATTATTTAAATCTATTTTGTAGCATAAAGTTATTTTGTGAGTTTTAAGAACTTCTAAGTAAAGTAACTTGTTCCAATCGAACTTAATGAGTCATTTCTTATAGGCTCAATAAATTAAGGAAAAACAAACGAACCTGATTTTAGTGCAAGCTATTTTCTCCTTCAGACAATTAATAGAGTTGTTGATTTCCATAACTTCATAGTTTCCAACGCCAAATTTATGTTTTTCTTGGGAACAGTGCAAAATTTTGGTATATTTGAACATATTTTCTGCAACTTTTAATGGAGAAATATAAAAAAATGAACTGATTCTGGATAATGTAGAGCTTAGATTTTTAGGAAAATATTTGCGTTAACGAATTTAAAAAGTCTTAGTAATAAGAACTGCAGTGAAAAGCAGAAAAGTATGATCATTTTTGTGTCTCTTTTTATGATAATTGAGAAATGCCTAGCAAACGGTTTAGCATGATCTACAGAAGTTGTTTTCTCGCTACTGACAATATTAAAATGATCGCAGCATACAAACCACAGAAACAAACGTTGCCAAAAATTCGCAGTTCCTATCACGTAAAATGTTTCGTTCTCATTTACGATCCAAATCCAGTAAAGTTCTAATTTGTTTGGTGATATCGGTATCAATATCAAAAGTTACTAGGAATCAGTTTCAAGTACATTCCTGATCCAGCATTCAAATTGTCGGTAAAATTCACATTAAATATAGCGCTAAAAAACATACTAAAAAATGATTCAAGAAACAAGCTAAAATGTGATTATGTTTAAAATTAGCACAACTATAATTATGTTGAACCTTTTCAATAACACCACTCCAACCATTGTTTTCAGCTTATTAAAAATATGAGTGCAATGAACTTTAAGAAAAATTAATGGCCGGTCTAGTTTAATCAGAAGAAATGTGTAAAATATAATGACCAGATCGACAATCGTTATCTTTATGAAATTTGGATCAAAAATTCAAGGAAACCAGAACGATAAATAATGCTTTTAAAACAGTTAAACCTAAACAAAAATTGACAAATTATCAAAAAAATAAAAATCGGAATAAATATATCATTCTGTTTGAAAAAGAAAAATTAATTTCTTACAATCTAAGGGAACATTATTAAAATATGAATCGCATTTGAAGAAGAGAAATGAAATAAAAGGAAATAACTGGGAAGGAACTGAAGAATATATCCTCATCATAATTTTATATACTTTAAAAAGAACACTTGGAAAATAACTCGAATAAATGATGACAATTTAGTAGATATGGCAGTGAAGTAATGGAATTAGAAAGTAATAATCAAGCAGTAGCAATAAAATACGGGAAAAAAGATCCATTTATTTACAAACATTATCTGACCAGAAGTGGCGAGAAATTCTCAAACATGCAATTAGTAATTTAAGAATGGATTCATATAATAAAAAATATATTAGTCAAGTTTAATAGAAAAAATGAAGAGAAAATGGAATTAAACACAACTTCTGAAAATTTATTCATAATCTAAAGAATCAAGAACATCCGAGAAAAATTTAATGGATAAATAGTTTTTCTAAAAAGCGTACTTTTTTCGCATTTACAAGTAACTTGAGCCTCGGGACATTTTAGAATAGGTGACCTAGTAACTCAAACTAAATATTGCAAAAAGTCAGTAAATATCCAAAAAAAGCATTGAAAGCACTCGAAACTTAGTCAAAAGCGAGAAAATTACTGAAAACAATGCTGTGAGAATCTTTAAACAATCATTAATATTTTCATTTATCAGTTATCTTTGATAAATCGCTATGAAATTGCTGATTACATTGTTTGCAAATATCAAAAAAGGAGCCAAGGTAATCTCCAATTGCACTCTCATAACTTCTGGACAACAAGCAAATCAACATAAAATTAGCTTTTATAGCTAATTTTATGGATAAGATGAATGTTCGGTTACCTGCAGCTATTTGAATGGTCAGCGTGTCAACATATATGATCATCATTAATATCGAAGACGCTATCGTTGTCATTTCTATCCAGTAATATAACTGAATTTCTTTCAGCAGATCCGATGTCACCTGTCATAAAAGGGTTTGAGAAAAGAAATTTGTTTTTGTTAACAGTTTTTGCTAAGTTAGGATTAGGACTTCAGAAATAGAAGAACAATTGATGTAGGTTTTCAAAAGAGAGAATTAAAATAAAATTCCTCGAATGGCAAAGACATCACTACATATGGTAACTGATAATCCCACAAAGAATTTTCCCTAATTCTAGTCTAATGTTGCTTCAAACATTATAAGCATCTGAAGTCTTGAATAAGTGAAATCAAAAATTTAAGATTGAAAAAAATAACAGATCGATAGATCACTCAAGTTTTTTGACGGACTAATGTTTAGTACTAACTGTAGACATATGAGCATCATGAAGGTTTACTCAAACTAAAAAGAGCTCAATAGGTTAAAAAACTTGTCTGCTCCAGCTAATTCATAATTAACAACTAATAATTAGCAGGGTATAAGTTTTCGAGTAAAAAAAGTTCAAATATAAATTTTTAGTCTTCACTAAATGAAAGTGGAAGCATAATATTAAAACTGACAAACATCGGGTAACTAAATAGGTAAAGCGGATTTCTAAAAAAATCATGCAAATTAAACAATTGATTAAACGGCTTCTTTTAATCATTTCTCGTCACTAAAATTGTAGGCAAATAGAAATGATTCGAGTTTATTTTTGCAAGAACAATTTAAGATATGCACGAGAGGGTTAGAAAGCTAAGAGAGATAAAAATGGGTCACTAAAAGTTTATACAATAATAGGTAGAATGCAAATGACAATTTTAGAGAAGTAATTATGGTTAGAATGATCAATTCTTTAATACTTGTCTACCTAGCTTCATTGATAGTATCAACAGAACTGCAATAATCAGTTATATGCTTTGGTGAGATTTTAGAATAATATTCAAAGCGCCCACAACAAACTAATTAGAATTTCTTTTTCTCTCTAACATTAACAACGACTTTGTTGTAATTTATTTATTGAAAAAAAGATAACCACACAGATGTCAGTACTACAAAAACAATCTAAGCAAATCGAATCGGAGACTAAGGAAATCACATTTGCTATGAAAATGAAGAAGTATGCTTGTTTGAAACAAATCCATGCAGATATAAGGAAAAATAATCAAATTCATGCGCAATTTCAATCTTCACTTCAAATTCTATCCAGGATAAACAACATATGCCATAAATTCTTGCATCTAAGTGGTTGCTGAACCATCAATCACAATAAGTTCAATTTTTATTTTCATATTGTCCTCATTCTGCACATTTCAAAACAATCGCTGTTTAGATCGGAAGTAGAATTCTTTCATGAAAACATACCTCCAACAATGCCATTTAGAGATGTGCTTCAATATTCGCTCCATTTATCATGTCAATTCTAAAAAGCTTTTGAGTGCGACAGTTCTTTAATTTGATCTATTTTCTACTGTGTGTGCATTTCCCTCTAGCAAATGCTTCCTAAATAAATGTAGGAAATTCAAATTCTATAACGGCAGGAAGATAAATGTGAACGTTTTCTTTATCTGACCATAGCTTCCCGAAATTGCTTCACTGAGTCACAAAAGTTAGATTGCGGAGTGGCACGGAGTTATTTCATATCATAATTCTTTATTAAAATCAGATGAAAACAATGAATTTTGATATACATACACTTATAATAACTCGCCAAATAAAATTTCAAAAAAAAATTCGAAAACTAGAAATCTTAGGTTGAATTTCTAAGAACTGAAACAATGAAGTTAGGAAATTATGCGAGTCAAATTTGATAAGAAGGCTAGTAATGCTAAATGCAAAAACTTATACACATTACAACTAATTTAAATTTAATTTTCTTTTTTTATTACTAACTTAATTAGTTACTTCTCAAGTAGTAAAACCTCTGGCAGTAAGAATCGGTGATTTATCTTTAAAAATGATGAGATAAGATTCCTTCTCATCATGAAAATTAATTTAGTTGAATTTCCAATGTATTTCTAATGCACGGAAATCGCAATAATATTCAGTCTAATAAACAAAATAATATGAATATACAAAAGGAGACTAATCATTTCGAAAAAAAACCGGTGACATCCATGAAATCATAACAAGGAATGCTGTGAGGTACAACAGTGTGTTCAGAATAAGATATAACAAACTAGAAAAAATTCAGTTCAAATAACACAAGTTTGAATTGCAATGATAACGATAGAATCTTAAAGAAGAAAGGAAGAGCATAAAAAATAAATGTTGATGGAATAATCTTCTTCGGGTTTCATCTGCTACTTTGACCTGATCAAACTAACCTAGCTTTCGAGTTTCATCCATGACATAACCTGTTAGAAAAGCCTTGTCTTATCTATCGAAACAGACTGAGAGAAGAAAAAGAAAGAGATTAGAGAGAATGGGAGAGAGGGAGAGAGTCCACCTTGTTTTCCCCTCATTATGATTAAACTAAAGAAATTGTGAGGATAAGGAAGAGAATTTCCACTGGGAGAGACTGATCGATGACACTTTTTATAGAGATGTTGTCAAAGAGAAGTGAAAATAGTGAAATACGAAAAACGAAAGGGAATGTTGTGACAATAACAAGAGTGTTCTGTTCATAATTCGTAGTTCATGAATCAAATCATAAGGAGGTCAGTGTAACAGCCGTGAATCCGTGAATTCAATAGACCGTCTTAGGCTTCTTAAGGTCGTCTAATATATTTTCGTCACTCTGACTTTGATTTTAACTATGAACTGTCAGTACATTCTGGGATGTCTCTTTGTACTTACCTGATAAAAAGAAGTCAAGTGTCGCCTAATCTTCTGGTTTCTCAGCTTTTGTTAACCTCATTCAACTTAGGAGCTGTAGTTACTGATCCGGTCAATTCCTATTCATTGTTTATGTTAAAAATAGCAAGTTTATCTATGTTACGCCGTCATCATGAAATAAAGATTTGTTGAAGATAAGAAACCTACAATTATTCAATGTTTGTGCTCCGAGTCATTCCTCAATTTCTGCTCCAAAATCATCCTTTTCTCAATTTGCATGTATAGAAAGGTTGGAATTTTGCAGGATTTGCATTTAATTGCTATTTTGTATCAGTAACAAAACACATTGCTTATTTTGCTTTCATTCAATTGAATTCTGCAAATCTTCTCTTTTTCACCGAAATAGTAAGATTGCTCTTTGCAATGATTAATAAATTTAAAGGTAAGAAAAATTGACGTAAATAGTTGCTGCGTCAAGCTCATACAGAATTGACG